TTGTGTAATTAACCTCAGTGTGAAGATAGCGTTCTGCTCCATTGTCTCTCACCTTCAAGAATGAAATGGAAACCAGGCAGAGAGGCAGCGATAAGGGAAGGAACTCCTGAGGTTTCTGCAGGCACATGAGCCACACTGAGCTCAGCCAAATCCAACGCGGCCAAAACGAAACTAAAACTAATTAAACATCAGGTGCAGATAGCCCTCTTCACTATTGTTTCTGTAACCTTCGGCTCAAACAATGTGAAGAGAGGAAACCTTAAGCAGGAAGGGGAGATACGTGGAGGTGGACGGGATTTTAAATTGAAGACGTGAATCGATATATTTCCTGCATCGACTTCATCGACAACACAAGGGGAACCATTTTCCAATAGATCTACAATGTGATATCATTTCAGTAATGCTATTTGTTTAATAAAGAGGATGTTAAAGTTTAATGCATCTTTGAACCTACAAAAAGTTGAATGTTGCAAAAAAAAAAAAAACAATTATTACAATAAATATTTATTAAAGTCTATGAATCTCTCTTGATTTAGCAAACATGCCGAGGACTCTAGTAGTCTTTGTTTAAACTTCACATCATCTAACAAAGCTTTCAATGCACACTTGTGCACATGTATCGTGTTTTGATAGAAGAGTTTTATTATTCATGTGGCTTTTATTCTGACTAGCTGGCCTCTTGAACGCCATCAAATCTCCTGCAGCATCTGTCACGGGGCTCCACCGTGGCTTCAGATGTGGATGACAAAGATGGCTCAGGAGTAAGAGTTCACTTCCCACAATGCATTGCTCCCATCAGGATTATTTATTTGCCGAAATGAGTAACATCAAGGCAAGGTCACTTAAATTAGTTTGTTCTGATTTGCTGCTCCATGCACCTTGTGTAATGAGATAATCTATTGTTAAACAACTTGCAAATAAACAATGTCACAGTACATTACACTAGGCACATTTCTCTTTTTTTAAGCAAAGATGACACATCGATAGTTTACTAGGGCATACAGGGAAAAAGTGCAACACATTGTTGTGCATAAACCTTTAGCAATATGTTTCCATATATAAAGAAGAACTCTGGCACAAGTTTCAGAACGACATGCTCTGACTAAGGTAAGTTGTGGTTTATCAGCAAAGCAAAGATGGCCTTTCTAATTGCAGGATGTTGCAGACTCGGTGAAGCTAAACTGAAATCCAGCAAGTTAAAATAGGAAGGTTTAGATCTCACCTTTGTGAGGAATTCTAATGTCAGTGCTCAGGCAAGTATTTGCAGGGTTTTTTTTTAGTCTCCTGTAAAATCTGAGGCTCTAAATCCATTTTATTGACCTTTTATTTAGTCAGCAGTAGTTTTCACTCATGCTTGGTTGCTTAATGAAAAGTTGGAATGGACCAAATTGCCTGATCCCTCCATGCAGTGCCAAGCATGGAAAGTGAAAGTCAGTTTCTGATTTGGTTGTTGTTTGAGCTCTAGACTGATTCAAGATGCAGCACTAAAAAAATTTAAGGCAGGGAGATGATCAGAGGTGTGTGTGTGTGTGTGTGTGTGTGTGTGTGTGTGTGTGTGTGTGTGTGTGTGTGTGTGTGTGTGTGTGTGTCCTAATCCGCCTGGGCAGATTGTTATCCTGCCATCCAGGAACAGATAAACATCAGAAATGCAAATCAATAATTACACATTGTGACTATTTCACAAACTGCAATGAGACTGCATTGATATTTTAATTGCCGTTTTGTCTGTTAATCAAGTGGATTTCACTAGCGATGCGTCCATGGATGGTCACATTTCTTTTCAATCCACAAGTTTCTTGTGAAACTCAAGAACAACAGAAGTAATGCAAAAAACAGAAGTAACCACAAACTCTGTCACCTTCTAATGGCCTCAACCAGTTACCGGAACTGCCAGAGTCTCTGTTGTAGCTGCATTTCTTTATATTTGAGGTCGTTTTTGTGATATTCAACAAAGTCCACAAAGCTTGTGACTTAGTGGTGACCCGTATTTTCCCATGGGGGCAGCCTTCCCTGTTTTCAGTACAGCTCCTGGAGAAAAGCTAGACCTTATAAAGTGTCTGCTCAGCAGTGTTCAATGTTGTAAAATCAAGCCAATCAATTTTTCAATATGCTAGACAAGAGACAAGGTAGAAAAATGTTTCCCAATCTATGAACCAAATTAATCCCACTCGTTCGCCATAACCACATCTTTTAACCCCACACTAGCGGTTTCATTATGGCCTGTTAAGGGTTTGAACTTAGATATATTTGTTCTTCTCAGATTCGCTGAAACCATGAAGCTTCCAACCAGCTGAACTAGTTTAACCTTTCTTTTTTTTCTTTCTTGTTTTGATATTTTCAAAAGCTCTGTTTCTCTTATTTAGGCTTAAGCTGAACTAAACCTGTCACAGCTCGGGAGGGAATGTGTTTGGGCTGTTAGTGAGTGTACTGCTGTTAAGGAAAGGGGTTATTTTAACAGTATGCAGCACAATACTGAATATATTTTCCCACAACTGTTGGAAGCAAACATCATTGTTCAGAATGCAATTCAATTCATTTCTCAGAAATGTTTCACTCTGGGTATTTGGATCCACTTGCCATTCAGTCTAATTACCACTCCACAGCCGATCTGTCTCTCTGTTTATTTAAACTCGGCAGGAATCACAAAACAGAGGTGACACCAGTATTTGAACAATAGCCTGCCGGAGAAGGGCACGGCTGATTTGGCAGTTACCATTTCACTGAGAGTGCTGCTTTCATGTCCTTTGCTCTCTTTGTACAAGAGGCTGATAGGAGCACTGGGGCCAGCTGCCTCTCTCAGGGCCCCTACTCCACCACCCAGACTGCCTCTGGAGGACCCTTCAGAGCCAGCAGATGAAGGTGAGGCGCCAGCATGTTGGACAATCACAGAGCAAGCCTGTTCTCACACAGGACAGTTAAGTGAAAAGTGAGCTATTGAAACCAGCTGCACTCTCTCCCCCTCAGCTTCCTATCTTCCCTGAGGTGTAAAATGGATGTTTTTAAGGTGAGCTGTGTTTGTCTACATCTGCTTGGCAGAGCATCTTAAAGACAATTTCATGTCGTCCTGTTTTCTTGCAAACCTTAAAGCCTGAGGGCGCCTGCAACATCACAGAAAGACATACGAGTGTTTAATTTGTTTTCAGTCATTTCTATCAATTGCTGTGGCCCACACACACAAACACACTGGATGTCTGCAAATGTCCACTTAACACCATTTGCTCAGCAGCTCACCCACAGTTCACTTAGTACAGCATACTGTATTTTGTAGATCAATCTTTGAGCAGTTATCTTCTTTAAAAATTAAATCTTTTGTTTAGTTCTGTTTCAGAATGCCAACACACTTCTTTGCTTGGTCAATAGAAAATAAACAAACAGCCATTAGTATTCACACTGGCTTCAGTTCAGAGTCAAGGGAAGTTTGACTCTTTCTTCCAACCTTAAGGGCTGGAAAATATAATCCAACACAGGAGTTTTTATACACCACTCTGCATTCAGTCATTAGTTATTAATCTCTGACTCCCATCCACACCGTGTCTTTTGTCCTGTCCTCCTCCTCCTGCCTCCAATTGGGTCGCAACAAATGGCTGCCTCTTCTGAGCCTGGTTCTGCCAGAAGTTTCTTCCTGTTAAAAGGAAGTTTTTCCTTCCCACCGTCACCAAGTGTTTGCTCATAGAGGGTCATCTGATTGTTGGGGTTTTCTCAGTATTATTGTAGGGTCTTTACCTTACAATATAAAGCACCTTGAGGTGATTTTCGGTGTGATTTGGTGCTATATAAATAAACTCAAATTGATTTGAATTCAAATTAATTGAATTGAATTGAATTAAGATCCAAAAAAGTGCAGTTTCTCTAATAACCACCTCAGGTTGTTTTCAAAAGAGGGTCAATATCCATAGCCTACAATAATGTCCAACTGTTCAGCAGAAAACACAACCAATTTAAAAACAATATAAAAAGACAAATACAAAAGAATCATCTTTTTAAACTTTACTCAGTCATACTGGTGACTAACATGGAGACGGTGTCCTAGGTGCCTGCAGCTAACAGGTGCCTTCCCATCTTAACCAGTCCCTGAACTGGACCTCTCCCCCTTTTTTGTGGAGACACACCTGTTTGACACACCAATGTGACACAGTTATAAAGTCTATGAATTAATATTGATAAACAATATGGAAACATTCCACCCTCCTGGACCAGAAGTGACAGTGGTTGTTTGTGCATAATTTGAACTCTGCTCAGATCCACCACACACTGCTGCTATGGCTGGCATGTACCTTCTGTAGCTCATTGTTTTCTAATGGCTACTTGAGAAACAATGGTATAACCACACTGTCATTCTGTCTGAACTGTCAAAGGTCGATTATTGACTTGGCCATGCACTGTGCTTTAGGAAGGCTCTGTGTATTCCAAATAAAAACCTTAATCATGTCACACTGTCTTTTTAAGCCTCTCCCTCTCACCAGACTTCCTTGTAGCTCTCGGTGCACTATCCCAATAGTTATGGCTTTGGTACAAGTGTTCTCAGTTATTGGGCCACCAGCAGGGATTACATGCCTAACTACATGGGAGATCTTTGGACTCCATCACTAATATCTGTTTTACTCTTTTGTTAAAGGAACTTGATCGCTTACTACATGGACTCATGTGAACAGTTTACTTTGATAACCTGCTGATGCTGATGATGTGAGATAATTCTTATCACAGTTCTTCACAACTTGAGCCTGATATTCCAAGTAGTTCAAAGGAAAAATCCAAATTGCAATTCAACACACAGACACAGTGTCTAGATCATGTTTTGCATCCACACATATCATTTCCACAACAGCAGCCATGACAGAAGGTCATAGGGCTAACAAAGTCATAACAGTATGAAGTCTGCTGATTTGCAAACACAACAAGTGTTAGACATGTCTTTTATCCATTGCAATGCTAAGAATTCACCCACATGTTCAAGTCCTCTTTGGTTTTGTATATTTCTGTGTTTGTGCCTTTGTTCTGACCTGTAGCAGCTCCTCTTGGTCATCACCAACCTCCAGTGCTACAGTGACCGAGGCAAAGGGACGACTGGCCATCTGCTGTCGCTCTCTCATCAGCTGCTGTAGAGTGAGATGGGGGAAAAAAAGAAAATAGTTTTAATTTATTTATTTTCATGGATTTATTTCTGACAGATTACTGTGTCAGAACTCAAACACAGGTTGTTATTCTTTTACTGGATTTATCCTTGAGAAACTCTACAGGGAACAGCTGAAGGTTAAGTGTTTTGCTCAAGGGCATCCTAACAGTGCAAACTAAATGAGATTAAAGTGCTTCACAATTTCTCCATTGCCAAAAAAAACTCCCCAAAAGCCAAATATGTTAAGGTGGTAAGAAAGAGAAGTAACAGGGCTAAGGAGTAATACTGACAAAAAGGATATCACTGGAAAGAAGGCCAGAAGTAACGAAGCAGTAAGAAAGAAGCAGGTAGATGAAGAAAAATGATAAAAAAGAAAGGAGGATTATGAAAATATAGGTTTAGGAGGAATGGAGGGGGGCAGAGATCAAAGTAGATGCTTGCTAGACACACAGGAGGAAGGCAACGATGAGTGGGGAAAAGCAGCTGGTGGGGGAATGGTGGGAGTCAGAGGGGAGGAGGAGGAGGGCAGGCAAACTTCATTAATGAGGAAATGTCAGATGAACAAAGGCAGACAGCGAGGCCTTCATCAGCATGAGGTCCAAACGCTGACCGAAAACACAAACAAAGATACAGCACAGCATTTAAATGAAGAATGAAAAAGAAAGAAAGAGAAGAATCCTCCCACACAAAGTAAAACAGAGACACGCACCATCATCAATAAAGCTAAGGAGTCCATCTACACCTGAAAAATAACAACATGCTCACTGCATCTTCATCTCCCCTCTCCATCATTAGCTCGGTTTCCCAGCTCTTTCCAAATCAATACGGACATGTTAATGGGGTTTTGTTTCTACATTTAGCTTGGGGTTAGCCACCTGTTTTACACACAGAAGAACTCATTTGTAGCCAATTACATGCCAGGCAATAATCAGTATGTTTCTGGTCGTTTTGGCAGAAATTCTGCCTGATGCAGGCTGTGACATGTTAAGCAATGTTGGGAAGACAGAGGGATCGATCAAGTTTTTGGTCTCTAATGTGAATAACCTGAACATTGGAGGAGTTTGACTTAGGATGCAAAAACACTCACAGTAGGTCGAAGTAAAAAAACAACAAAAAAAAACACTTCACCACATCAGGATGCGGTGAAGAGTGAAGACTTTTCCTTATACTTCCTCTCTGCTTTAAGTCATCCAAGTACACAAATATCAGAAACAAGCCCAAAAGAAAAAGAAAAGAAAGACATTAGGAACAGAAGCACTGCGAGGATGTTAGAGAATATTTGAAATTGAAAGAAAAAGAAACAGATAACGAGGCATATCTCCAGCCCCCACCCGCCTTGTGACCTTGAATTGGACAAGCAAAAGAAAATGGATGGATGGCGATAAAGAAAAAATGAAATGAAAGGAGCAAAACCAATAAAAGAAGGCAAAAGCACAGCACTAGATTAAGAAAGAGAAAAATAAAAACAAATTAACAACACAAGGTAAGGACAGGACAGGAAAAGGAGAAAAGCAAAGGAAAGAGAAAAAAGTGTAAACCCCTCCTAAATATCAATGGCTTCTACACTCTGCTACACTTCTCTAAACTGAAGCAGCTCTCCTGCTGCTGTGTCCTCTCCTGTTGATGAGAAAAGGCTGCACACTGACATTAACTGGCTGTCAGGTGTTGTGCTAGCGCGCCGCCGGCTGCGCGATTGCCGGTGTCAGACTCTTTAAGCATGACTGAATAGTACACCTGTAGCTACATCAGCACAGTCAGGTGCTCCGGCGGCGGCAAGCGCTCTGCTAGCACGCTGCCATGCCGGCTAATGTGATGTCTTTCCTTGTTAGCTGTCACCACTGTGGGAATGCTGCTCACATGACAGCGAGTGCTTGCTAGCATCGCTGTTAGCCTCCTGCAGATGTCAGTTTAGATTTGTAAAAGACTAGCTGAGTAGGTGTGTGTGAGAGGAAGGGTGTCTGTGTACTGGAAGCTGTGGATGAGGTAAGAGATCCCCTTTAAGCGTTTTTAAACCTTTATGAGTGCGTCAGGATTTGTTATACTGCTGTAAAGGCAGGATAGGTGGCAGGGGGAAAGAAATAGGCCCAAAACTACTGAAAATAGGGTCCAGAGGTGCATCTGTTAGACACAGAGACATTTGTTAATCACCCTGATTAAGTTTTTTTAAAAAAGGATTTATTTTAAAAATGTAGTGTGACAGACCTGTGATCAGCACCAAACCATCCCAGGCCTTTCAGATTGCATATTAGCCCCCTTGAAAAACTATTCATAAGTAACACTCAGACTCATTGGCACAATTTTGAATGTGAAGGTCACTACTATACATGCAAATGTGCCTCTAGTCTGTACTGTCTGGAGTAACTGAACCTAAGTGGGCGACGGTGCTACGCTGTTGGTAAGTAATGAAATGTCAGCCATATTTCTGGATTTCGTCCGTCACGCTTTAGTGTTGATTTCCTTTTTGTTTTCAGAATTTAATAATAATGGATTGCATTTATATAGCGCTTTACAATTCCACTATTCATTCACTCTCACATTCACACACTGGTGGAGGCAAGCTACAGTCACCAATAGGCGGTAGGTGAAGTGTCTTGCCCAAGGACACAACAACCGAGACTGTCCGAGCCGGGGCTCGAACCGGCAACCTTCCGATTACAAGACGAACTGCTAACTCTTGAGCCACGATCGCCCAAACATTTACAGTAGTCATTTGTTGTATTAACAGTATTCATGTGCAGTTTACCATTATGCAAATCTTGAGAGCTTGAAAAAAGACAATCTATTCTTTAGGTTTGCAAAGATGTTTCACTTCTCATCCAAGTGGCTTCTGACTGAAAGGCCTTTATGCAAACTTATTAAGCTTATTCAGCTTCCAGACTCCTAGTACACCAAAACTAATATATCTGATAAGAAGAACCACCGTCTGGCCAATTAGGATCTCAGTGTGGTGAATAAGCTGGATTGCTTCTGTTTTATATATTAGCCTAGCAATCCTAGCTTTGGTTGGTGGTTCACTAACTATCCAAAACTTCACTGCTATTTCATTTATCTATCTTTGTTTAAAGCTTGAAAAACAAAATCATATGCTGTATGCTGAACGCATATCCCTCATCCTAATAAATTATCTTTCGATTTACATTATTACTTTTTGTAACATCGGAGTTTCTACCACTTCTTATTCTTAGCTGTGCTGGTATTGGAAAATTTGGGCTTGAAAATTCCTAATTAATTCATCCTTAACTGGATCCCTTAACATTTCTTTAAGTTTCCAAAATTAAGGCTGTTTGGTTTAGTTTAGACAAGGATTACGGTGTGAAGAAGACATCAGACCATTAAACAAAGTCTCCTTCCTGATAGCTTTTACCGCAGTATGGTAGCTGAGCTGTTTATACACCGTTTGCGTGCACCCATGTGCGAGTTTGTGTTATGCGAGGTGTTCTCTCAGCTCTTTATTCCCTCAAGCTGTTGCTCCTCTGTTAGTGAGATTAGACAAACTGGTCAAGGTGAGCCGGGTCACATCTGCGTGTGTGAGCGCTGCAACCTGATAAATGAGTCTAGACAGTGGAATTATGTTTAGACATAAAAAGTGGGTTTAATATTCATGTCTGGGGTAAGTTTTCAAGTGTATTGAAGATGCAAGTGTGTACTGCATGTACGTGGTACCTCCAAACGTCTTTATATATACACATAAATACAAAGAAAAAATACAAATATACATTTTGGTCAGAAGAAGACCACTTGTCTGTCTATGTCTGTGTGTGAGTGCTTGTGCATGTGTTGCGAGTTTAATGCCCTCTTTGACAAGTCCTTGAGCAGGCAACAAGGACAAGACAGCGGCCATCTCCTCTGTCTGCCCGTCGGACTGTAAATCAGCCATAAAACAGCTAATTAACTCTGCTGTGCTGTAAACAAGCAGTGCCACACCACACACCACCGAGATGACAAAAGAGGGCGGAGAGCAAAGAAAGCCTATGTGAATATGTGTTTAAGTTACAGTTAGAAATATTATCCAATTTTCCTGCAAAGGGTTTAGCTGGGTACCTGAAATCCCAAACTAAATCAGAGAAAGACACAAAGCTGATATTTTTCAGCCATCTCAGTTGGACAGACAGACGCATAAACAGCCAAGAGAAAAAATGAAGTCAATCACATGCTGAATTATGTTTCACAGAACACCGCTCAACCATAGTAGCACCTGCAAGCTCAAACTGCCAGTCCTGTTAGGCTGGAAATATCTGTGTATGTGATGTTTGTTGATTTCAGATCTACTCCTGTCTAATGATGGGTTTCATAGCACCACAAGTGTCCCTCTTCTACTGTGGCAGCAGTTAAAGCTCTGTGAGGGCACAGCTATAGAAAGGTTAGTAAACCCATCCATGTATGTGGGTGTTTGCATTGTAGGTCTTTGTTGGGGGCGTGGGGGGTGTAATACAACACCAAGCACTCAGTAACCATCAGCCCCTAATTGGTAGTACTACAAAAACAAAACCAGCATGCGTTTGTCAGTGTACACGCAAAGCTAATGAAAATCCACAAACTCCAAGAGAGACCAGTGACATACAAAGGCAGACAACCTGACACTTTAACAAGGGAAGAGGGGAAGGTGGGACTACAAACATAATAGGAACTGACTACCAGGAATATAAGCACATGAGAAATGAGACAGGTGGGAAAAAATGGGGTGGACAGGAAGAAAAACAAATATAGGAAGTCACAGGAAGGTGACTTAAATGAATGAAAACTGTAATAACACCTGCAAATCATTGGACGCAAACAACCGCCGCTCAAAATGACCAATGCGGCTATCCAGTCTTTGGCAGATTATCGGCTCACTCAGTGTGATAAACCGGCCAGTCCAGCTAGACGTTTTTTAGTGATTGTTTCCTGTCCGTTATTTCCCCCGCTTCCCCAGCCCGCCTCAGATTTTATCTCATGTGCACCAACCCCCTTAGACAGACACCACTTATTTCCTGTCAGCTTGGA